CATTTCTTTAGAGCTGCTTAGCTGAAGTTTATCACAATCATTCAGCTGTTGCCTAGCAACTAGTGAGGGCTATCAAAGCACTCATTGTCCTCCCTCAGTCCTGGCAAAAACAGTCCCTCACAGATCTCCTTATCAGCATTGGGAAATTTATCAGGAAAAAAAATGCTCCCATTCAACCATAGATTGCCTGTAAATTTAAAGCTAGCCCTTTCCCGTTTACCTCTTCTTCCAAATATTTTAGGAATTATTTCTGGAAGTAACTAGTTGGGAAGTTTTTATCTGTTCTTTGATAAACATCCCAAAGAAATCTCCTTAAGATATCTCACTATTCTTATATTTCTCTTTAGTCTGGGCCAACAGCTCCAAGCTTCCAATAGTTTTCTTCCTAATCCAGCAAGAAAAAGGTTTTCTCATATACATGTACACATGCTGACTTCCTCCTCTAACTTCCTTCCGTCCCTGCCCCCATATTCAGGGCCAGTGTTTTCCCCCAGGTCTCTGTCCTACATGCTAATCCTTTCTGCAGATGCCCCCACAGATACATTTTACCTCTTTTTAAAATTTTATTTATTATTTTTATTTTATGTGTATGAGTGTTTTGCCTGCATCAGTGCACCCATGTCATGTAATGCTCATGAAGGTCGAAGAGGACATCAGATTCCCCTGGAACTGGAGTTAGAACAGTTGTTAGCCACCATGTGGGTGCTGGGAATAGAACCCAGGTTCTCTGCAAGAGCAGGCAGTGCTCTTAGCTGCTGAGCCATCTCTCCAGCCCCACATTTTACCTCTTAATCTGGGCACATTGGTAACGAAGACCTACCATCACACTACTCATGTACTAGCCACTGGACAGCAAAACCAGGTTCATTTTCTCTCCCCCCCCACCCCGACAATTAATTAATTATTTGGGGTAGGGTAAGGGTGAGGAGCATAGCGCTTTCCCAGCTGCATTTTCTCCCGGGGATCTCTAGAATTATTCTTCCCCTACCATTGCTTTAGTTTCCTGCCTTTTTTTTTTTTTCCTCATTTTTTCACCTGGGTAATATTAACTGGCCATCAGACTTATCCTCTTCCACTCTCACCTCTTCGCATTATCATCTGCCAGTCAATAAAACATCAATTCAGTTATGGCCTCCCAACTGCTCGATTAACAAATAGGGCAGAGTCTCCCCCGCCACACACACACCATAGTATGGCACTAGCAGCTATTCCTCATGAGGTGTGGCTACCAGCTCATTTCACCTACTGTTTTTAGCCTCCAAGTCCCAGCTGTTCCCAACACTTGTGATTCCTGAAGGGCTCCCATATACTTCTTGGGTCTCTGAGCCCTGCATCCACTGTTCCTCCAGCCAGGAGCCACCCTCCCTCTTTCCCTGATCCAAGTCCCTAGACAGAGCTGTGGGAGTGATTTGGGGCCCTATCAAACCTGGTGTTATTTTTCTTGAACATTTCACCAAGCCAGCCCTGGCTAGAATTGAGGTTGCTTATTGACTTAAATTCCTTTTTGTCTGAGAAATAAGGAAACAAAAAGGTGTCTTACAGGACTCTCTCACAGTTAGCATAAATGAGATCAACAGAAATAATTAAGGACAGGGAGAGGGAGAGGTCAAACAAACTTACAGCTCTTCAAACAGCTCTTTATCTCAGAGTATGTTTCACTGTAGGGCCGCATTTACACAGTGCTCCCATCCCAAGCTTGATTCCTAGGTAGGATATAGAGAACCACTCACTCATTGGTGAGTCTTGTTGCCTGAAATTCCACAATTAGATATTTATTTCTCAGACTCTCAAAATGTGTGCTTTCTTGAACTGTTAATAATCTCTGGAGACTGTAGATGTCAGTAATAACAGATTGATAATATCTTCCCTGGTTTTACGGAGGGCCTGTGGGATAAAGGGTGCCCCAGAGGGAAGCTAGCATCCCACTTCCCTTTGGACTTGTCTGAGACGTACTTCATATTTGTCTTCAAATAGATCAGAGATTAATAGCTGCAACATGATGGCTCATTTTTACTGATGATAGAGTAAAAGAAGAGAGCTTACCTTTCAAAGAGGGAACAGGTAATAGAGAATGTTCAGTATTTACATTCGTAAGAAAGATTCCTTTACCATCCTAAAATTAAAATTATTTAAAAAGTGAGCTTGGTTCTGCTGATATGCTTGTATAAAGGAGGCAGAGATTGATAGATGGCCTGTGGGATTCCCTCTGAGACTCTGGAATGAAATGATGGGTAAATCATGTGAAATAGGGGTTTTTCACAATGAATATCTTAGTTATTTTATGGTGCTTGTTACTTACGTGAAAATTACCTTGATAAAGTTGGTTATGACAGATGGGTACGATGCTAACCAGCTGGACAAATCTCTTAAGGGAAGAGGAATCAGATATAAAACACAGGATCACTTTATCTAGATTGCCAATCAGGTATGCAGTCATTTTTTTAAACAAGACCCAAGTGTGCTTGTCCAGAATCATGACAACCTATAATATTCAAAGCCAGGACTACTTTTGACCTGAAGGGTCTTCCATTCCATGATAACTGAATTTAAGAGTAATGTGATTTGGCCAGTAGCTGGTGAAGTAAGTCACCTTAAATGACCAAGCTTCACCAAGCCCTCCCCCAATCCCACTCCACATACAAAAGCATTTTAAAAATCAGAACTAATTTTCTGGTGATAGTCAAGTTAGCCAGATAATTATTCAGCTTCTACTTCTTAAAGCTTCTTTTTCCTAAGTGGCTCTGGGCCACAATGCCCAAGGACATATCAATCTGTGAAGCAGGTGGCACCTTCCCACCTTAGCTGCTGTCAAGCAGGAGCCCTGACTCACGATGGGAGCAGAAATCCTGAATCCCAGTGAGGGGGAAGCCTGTGGCAGACCACCGTGTTGGCACTTCCTTCCCACTCACAGAACAAGACCCGTGTTTACAGTTTTCTTCTGAAGTGTGCTGCTGCTCAATATGTTTGACAGTTCTGCATAGCATAGGTATTGGTTTAAAAAAATCAGCTGAGGGCTGGAGGGATGGCTCAGCCATTAAGAGCACTGGCTGTTCTTGCAGGGGACCGAGGTTTGAATCCCAGCACCCACATGGTGTCTAACACCCGTTCATAACTCCAGTTCCAAGGGATCTGATGCCCTCTTCTGTACTCTATGGGCATTGCATGACATGGTTGTACTTACACATACACAGGCATAACACTCATACACATAAAGTAAAAATAAATAAATAAATAAATAAATAAATAAAATAAATAAATAAAATCAGCTGAGACTCCATGGCTGGTGTGTCCCTTTTGGAAAGGTAGAATATGTAAGTCCATTTCAATTTTCCAAAAGACATTTGGAGAATAAGATATTTGTGAACACAAGACAAACAGAAGAGCAGCCACAAATTCCACTTTTTGGTCTTATGGAGACCATTTAGACCCCAATCAGTTTTATAAACCAAACTGATTTCCTTTCTTGAGCCAGTAATCCAAGCTGAAATAAAAGGCCACGGCTAACTTGAGCTAGAACAATGGGGTGGGGCCTGTTTGCCAGCAAGTCTAAATACTTTCAGAAAGACAAACACAGGGACAAGAAAAAGTAGAGATTTATTATTTGGCAGAAATGGCTCTGTAGCAATTGGTAACACACCTGTGGTCATTTAGGACCGCTTCTATATCAGGTTCAGGACACGATAACTTTTCCCCAAATCACTTTAGAAGCAAAAATTGAGGTGACATGTGCCCTTCCCAGCACCCTCTGTGCCAGGTAGTTGTAAGTGTTCTGGAATGCTGCAGAGAGTCTATTCTCATTTGGAAGCCAGCAGTCACCAGTGTACCACTAATTAGCACTCATTCCTCTGTGGGCTTTGAAGAATTCTGATATAAAAGAGGTCCCCTGCTGTATTTCAATAACAAATTTATGAGACTTTTCCTTTACCTAAAGTAATACCTAGTTTTATTTTTATTTTTGCAAGCTGGCTTTTTTATGTTTCCTTTAGATATTGTTTATTTAGTCATAACTGATTTAATGCTTATTTCCAAAATAAAAGCTAATATTGCCATACAATTTCATAATAACAGAAGGCTTAGACAACAGTATGTAAACGATGTTAGCTGGTATATTCTGCCTCTTGTCCACTGTGAGTTGAAATTTTTAAAGATGAAGTTTATCTGCCACTGCATCAGTCTATCTTGCATAATATATTTTTTCTCATATTATTGAATTTTTGTGATTTTCATGTAATATATTTTGATTGTATTTAGACCCCCTCCACTATCTGCAACTCCCCTTACTAATCCATGCCCAATTTAATGTACTCTATTATATATAAAATAAGGCCTATACAGTCTTCATTTGTGTTCCCAAAAGTCCTTTGGTGTGGCTCTATCCACTGGAGCCTGATTAACCTATCAAGAGTCATATCCTTGAAAGAGACCAACTCTCCCCCTCCCAGCAGCCGTCAGTTACCAATAGCTCTCCTCAGGTAGAGTTGGGGCTTCTCACCCATGTCCCCACATCTCCAGCATGATATATTTTAAGATCATGTTTATCTGTTTACTCCCCAGTAGGGTTTTCTTGATGTAAAAAAATGCGATCACTTTGTGCTTTGCCTTACTGTTTTATACTTCGTTCATTTTTCTATAAAAGCAAAGCAATTAATTGGGTGGATGGACTAAGAAAGAAATCAATAATATTTTGATAAATTTCACCATCAAAGACAGGATCCTGGGGCTTCCTGTTAGGCTTTCCTGTTAAAGAGGAAAAATCAATATCGTGAAAATGTTTATTCCATCTGGACTGCATAGAAAATAGTTCTTAGTATTATTTAATGTTAAGATGATAGTCCGTATTGGTGTATGTGAGGGGATAGCTGGATTTTACACCTGACATCTCTGCTTGTTCTTGCCCATACTTGGTTCTACATTGTGTTCTTGGTCCCGTCTTTCTACAAATATCCTCGGAAGCCTCACACTGCACCTCCCTCAGCCCTGCCCTGTGTGTGTTGTTGTAGGTGTGCACTGCGACAGTGTGTGTGCAGAGGGCCGCTGGGGCCCTAACTGCTCACTGCCCTGCTACTGTAAGAACGGAGCTTCATGCTCACCTGATGATGGCGTCTGTGAGTGTGCACCTGGGTTCCGAGGCACCACTTGTCAGAGAAGTAAGTATCTTGTTAGACCATGGTTTCTGTCCTCCTTTCCCTGGGCACTACAGGTCAAATGCTGGCCTCTGCTTCACCTCCCGTTTACAATGAAATTCTGTTACAGGCAAGGGCAGAGGAGTCCTTTGCAGAACTGTCCTCAAATAATACTTCCCCAGGAACTTTATTCTTTTCAACCTTCAGGACTAACTGAACAGATGGGATTTTAACCATCTCCTCCCAGGAATGATTTCCTCATCTCATTGGCACCATTGTCAGGATATGATTCTTCCTAGGAGCTTGCAAATGGTGTTCCAGAAATCCACTGACCTGTAAATATTTTATTCAGCAATTTGGCACCAACCTAACCTCAATTACCAGAAGTCAACATCAGCCAAGCCTTGAGGCAAAAATCATAAAGTGCTACAAGAAAACAGAATTGAAAGTTAAAAATGGGCATGCTGGGATCATGGGCCTGGAGAGATGGCTCAGTAGTTAAGAGCACTGGCTGCTTTTGCACAGGACCTGGGTTCAATTCCCAGCAACCACATGGTAGCTGACAGCTGTCTGTAACTCCAGTTCTAGAGGATCCAGCACCCTCTTCTGGCCTCCTTGGGTATTGCACAAATGTGGTACACCTACATACATGCAGGCAAAACACTCATACACATAAAAATAAATAAATAAAATTTGGGGGCTGGAGAGATGACTCAGTGGTTAGGAACACCAACTGCTCTTGCAGGGAACCCAGGTTCGATTCCCAGCACCCACATGGCAGCTACGAACCATCTTAACTCCAGTTCCAGGGGAATCCAAAACCCTCTTCTGAACTCTGCAGCATTGCATGACATGGGTGCACTCACATACATGCGGGCAATACACTCATACACATAAAATAATTTAAAAAATAAAATTTAAAAAATAACAAAGCATCAACAAATGACTTGAGGGTACTTATTTGAAGCTTATTAATATTTAGAGTTTGACTTTTCTCATTACTTTATTCATTCAACTAAACGTCTTTGAGCCCCTGGCCTCTGCCTGGCTTTGAACTAATCACAAGAAGGTAATGAGATCTGTCTGAGACATTTACCTGCCCCAGAGAAATTCGGAGTTTCGTGGCTTCCTTTCCTTGTTAAAAGCTGCTCTTCTTCCTGCAACCATTCTGTTTTATGTTTGGAAAATTCAGTTCTTTTTAAAAAATATTTATAATTTTTATTTTATGTGTATGAATGTTTTGCCTACATGTATTTAAGTGCACCATGTGGGTACAGTGTCCACAGAGGCCAGAAGATGGTGTCAGATAACCTGGAACTGGAATTACAGACAAGTGTCAGGTGCCATCTGGGTGCTGGGAAACGAACCCAGGTCCTCTACAAGAGTAGCCAGTGCAGCGGCTGAGCCATCTCTCCAGCCCCAGTTTTGTTTTGTTTTTGTTTTCGTTTTCGTTTTTGTTTTTGTTTTTAAGTTTTCTTTACCCTCCAACTAGACCCCAATGTGGAAAAGGAGATAAATGCTGCTCAGAAACATAACTATGAGTTTCCATTCTGTTTTCAGTCTGCTCCCCGGGTTTTTACGGGCATCGCTGCAGCCAGACGTGCCCACAGTGTGTCCACAGCAGCGGCCCGTGCCACCACATCACAGGCCTGTGTGACTGCTTGCCTGGCTTCACAGGTGCCCTGTGCAATGAAGGTAAGGGGCCTGAGCACTTGGAGAGAGGCAGGGAAGAGCAAGGCGGACGGAGTCTGCACAAGTCTGCGTTTCCAGCTCCTGGTGCCTTCTGGGTAGTTGTGTCTGCAGCGCTCCGATCTCTCAGTGGTGCTTGCTGCTCTTCAGCTTTTGTTGGCAGCATCTTCCTATGAAAAGTCAAGTGAGGAAAGATTTCGACTCCCTGTGTGATAACCCAGAAGTCAGAGTTCTATAAATGCCACAATGTCCATTCAAGATGTCTGAATGAAGCCAGAGACTTTATGTATCATAAAAATGAACCCATCCGGGATTGGGGTGTGCTCTGGGTGGAGGCAGAAAGCCAGTGGGCAGCTGGGGAATGGCCCTGGAAATTGTTTCTGTTCTTGGGGTTCTGTGAGAGGGGTTCTGGCTATGAATTACTGACCTTCAGTTTATTCACAGTGTGTCCCAGTGGCAGATTTGGAAAAAACTGTGCAGGCATCTGCACCTGCACCAACAACGGCACCTGCAACCCCATCGACAGGTCCTGCCAGTGCTACCCAGGCTGGATCGGCAGTGACTGCTCCCAGCGTAAGTCTGAGTCTCACCGGGGCACAATTAAGAGACCATTGGTATTTGTTTTCCTATGTCTTGGGATTGAAGTATGGGTGTTTATGTGATCAAGAGAGAATATATGACCAATTATTAAATGCATTCTAGTTTTTAAATTAAGAGCTTGATGCAATGATCCCATCTGTTAATAAATCAGTGTGATGCTTTGGGAAGAATATAAATATGTAACCATCCATTGATTTTCTTTTTTTTTTTGAGACAAGATGTCATGTAGCCAAGGATGGCCTCAAACTCACTGTGTAGTCTAAGATGACCTTGAGCTTCTGATCCTCCTGCTTTACTTCTGCAGTACTGGGATTACAGGTGTACACCACCATTCTTGATTTTATGAGGTGCTGAGGACTAAACTAAGGGCTTCGTGTGTGCTAAATAAGCGCTTTACCAACTGAGCTACGTCTCCAGCCCTATTTGTGGATTTAAAACAAAACAGGTGTATTTAGAGAGCTGCCTCTTCATCTTGTATTCATTCAAAGATGTAATTACAGAGCCATGAAGAAACAGAATCAAAATGATGTGAGCCTTAGACGCTTGCTGGGTCCTCGAACAGTGCCTGCCTTCCTGTGGCTTCCAGGCTGCCTCCTTCTTGGCTCCCCAGGTCCCTCTTACACTGCCCTTCAAATAGGGGTGCTGTGACCCTATGCTACCCAAGCCATGAGACAAGAACAGTGACCATAACTCAGGTATTTTTTTTTCCATAAGTTAGGTTTTAAAAGGCCCAGTTAGACACTTTCTAGAAGTATTCAGCTTTTGACTAAGGGCAACATATATCTGGGTGTGCTCCTGTACCATTCTTTACAACGTTCATGGCTCATACTCAGTTCATACTGACTCCAACATTGTACACATACAACAGATGAAAGAACAACTATACGCTGACTGTACATGGTAGTTTATTAGTCGTTGGATTCAGATTTCCCAATTATAATCAATTTGTAAATATTAATAAGTCAGCAATATATTTTTATCTAAATGTTTTTGATTATTAGTTGCCCCCATACACACACTCAGTAATTCAGGATCTATTATATTTCCAAGATAAGAAAGGTTTTGGCAAAACGAACGTTTATTGCTCTATGTAATTACATAGTGTGTGTTTTACTGGATTTGGGAGTGTAACTGCAGAAGCAACTGCCATCTATTCAAATCCGTGTATTGCAGGTTTTGAACTGTTTCAGGCTGGGATATGGGCAGGTGAGGAATAGGTACTCAAACTGAATAGCAAGGCTTCAGAAGGAAAACAAAGACCCAATTTCATTACTATAGTAATATATTGGTATAATTTGCTCCTTTGAAAATATTCCTTATTTTGGGAGTTGGTCACTTCCTTATTTGGAGGAGGAATGTGCTGGAAGGACAAAGACAGAAACATTACTATGAATGGAGACAACAGTGTGGCTTGTCCCCATGGTCACCCCCAGAGGAAGCTGATTCATTTGGAAAAAGCCTTTCCTTCTTTTGGGGATCACTGACTTCATTGATTCCCTATGGTCTCTATGGAACCATCTTAAAATTTCTTCTTGGCTGATTTTCAGACAGTTTTCAGTTTAAAAACTCCTTCACTATGAAAAGAGAGACTTTGAAAACTAACGGGGTACATTTAAAGGTGCAAGTATCCTCAGCAGAAGGAACATTTAAAGTGTACCTTTATACTTTCCTTTAGGAATGCAAAATTTGAGTGATCTTTATTCTCATTCTGTGATCATAACAAATCCAGGGAGTGTAGTGCAAATGGGCTGCCTTAGAAGAAGATACTATAGACATAAAAGGGCTCACGGAAGTTTATTAAGCATCATTTAATAAATAGTTTGGGGCTGGAGAGAGCTCAGCAGTTAATAGATCAGCATAATCAATCATGAGGACCAGAGTTGGGGTCCTGGAACTCACATAACAAGTTAGGTATCCCACAGGCAACATGTAACTCCAGCTCTCAGGGATCCAATACCCTCTTCTGGCTTCCATGCACACATAGATGTGCACACTTACACACATTCTTGCACACACACTCATACAGAGACATATACACACACAAAGTAAATCTAAAAAAAATAATTAAATTAATGATGTTAGGGAAGTTGGCAATCCACTTATAAGTTAACAAAGTTAGATTTTTCTTACAAAAAAAGAAAGAAGGACACCTATATCAAAGTTCTGCCTCACACGGCTCAGGAACCATTGCAGAAAAGAGGTGGAAAGATTTTAAGAACCATCAGTCATTGATGACCACAAAAGACTTTGCCAGACACCTGGGCAGTTACTCATATGAACTTAACAGTATGCACAAGACCCATGCAAACGCAACCCAGACAAAGTCCCAGCATGGAAACCTCAACCTTAGCTGAAGAACTATTGGCAACTGATCATTACGGGGAGAGGGAGAGTTGTTTTCTTTAAGGATGGGCCGCTAAATAGGTTAATGAGGCTCCAGTGGATGAATGCACACAGAAGGACATTTGGGGACACGAACGACTCAAGAAGCCTTAATATATATGACAGAGTACATGAGATCTGGCAGCAGGGGGATTATAAAAAGGGGTGTAGATAGGGGAGAGGGTCTAGATATGATAAAGATATATTGTATGAGCCGGGCGTGGTAGCGCATGCTTGTAGTCCCTTGGGAGGACAGTTGGGAGGCAGAGGCAGGTGGATCTCTGTGAGTTCAAGGCCAGCCTGGTCTACATAGTGAGTTCCAGGACAGCTGGGGCTA